CACACAATGAACATCGACAAGGAAATCATCCTTAATCGATAAAAACGGGTGCACTATGTCATACCACAAACCATTCGATCTACGCACGCTAATACCATTAGGTAGAATCGCTTGAGGATTGTAATTATACTTAGCGACAATAATCATTTTCCAAAAACTTTCAATATCCTCACTAAAATGCCAAATCCATTTATTCAACAATGCTCGATTTCTGACACTAACATCAAAAATACCAAGACCACCATGAGATTTCGACCCACTAACCATATCCCACTTAATCCAATGAATACCTCTATTAGATTTAACGTTCCACAGAAATCTTGCTATACTTTTATTTAACGACTCTGCTATAGACTTGGGCATGGAAAATAAAGACATGTAATACACCGGTACGTTAGCCAACACTGATTTAATCAATGTAATCCTTCCCCCGAATGATAGAAACTTACATTTCCAGCTTTGTAGACGATTTCTGACTTTCTCCAATATCGGATGCCACATCAACTTTTGGTTTTTTTATAACCTAAAGGCAACCCCAAGTACGTCATCGGCAGCTTAGCCCAATCGCATAACAACGAATCTGCCCACCCTTTAACTCTGTTGTCCTCCACATTAATACCGAATAATTTCTTCTTCTGCATATTCAACTTCAGACCAGCTGCGACCTCGAAAATTCAAAGGACACGAAACAAATTATAGATTTTCTCTTCTTTAGCTTCCGAAAAAATGATTAAATCATCAGCAAACTGAATGTGGAAGGCCCCTACTTTACTTGACCCAATATACGCCCCTTGACAAAAACCTAGATCAACCGCTTTCTTGAACAATCCACTAAGTGCCTCGCCCACTACATTAAACAGAAATGGCGACAGCAGGAAGCCTTGCCTCAGGCCCCTTTTAATAGAAAAATATTTCGATGGACACCATTAACCAAAACAACAATATTAGGCGTCGAAATACATAAGTTAATCCATTTCCTCCACTTACTGCCAAAACCCATTTTCTTTATAATCAAATTCAAAAAGACCCAGTCAACAACATCATATGCCTTGCTGAAATCTGCTTTAACCATGACTGTTCACACTTCTTCTTTTTCAGATCATCAACAATCTTATTCGCTATCATGGAACAATCTAAAATCTGTTATCTGTTTCCCGGCCATAAAGGCGAACTGGTTCTCGCCAATCACTTTATTCATACAATAAGCCAATCTCTTCGCCAATAAACGCGCCACAATTTTAAAGATACTTCCCACCAACGAAATAGGTCTGAAATCATCGGGATGGACAACTTGAGTTTTCTTTGGAATTAGAGCAATGAAGGACTTGTTAAAGGAAAAATCTACAATTTTACCCCAGTAAAAATCCACCATAAACTTCATTACGTCTGATTTAATAACCTTCCAGAATTTCTTGAAAAAATCCAAGCTAAAACCATCTGGACCAGTAGCTCTTGTACCATCCGATAAATTTATTATAGACCACACTTCCTCTTCAGAGAACAATCGTTCGATCCATTTTCTAGTGGCAGTGCATATCCTTTTAAACGGAATATCAATCCTCTTGATCGGAATGGTATTCACATCGTTATAGTAATAGCGGAAATGGTTGGCAAAAGCTTGTTGAATCCCTACTTGATTTTTGAACACCGAGTTATGCACCTTCAATTTCGAAATCTGATTCATGCGACCTCTGAACGCAACAGTAAGATGAAATCACATCTCTTGTTAATAAAATCATTAGGCAAGTTATATTATTATATGTTAGGAAAAAAAATTAGGTTAAACTATGGTTGAAATGGATTACATATTTGGATGAATTTGGGGATGAAATTGAAAGGTCTAAAAGTTTAGGAACCAATTTAGAATGAGATTTATAGTTTGGGGATAAAATTAATTGTTCAAAAGTTTAATGACTAATTTAGAATAAAAGTCATAGTTTAAGGATGAAACTGAAATATTTAAAAAGTTAAAGACTAATTTAATATAAAAGTCGTAGTTTAAGGACATATTATACAGTTAACTCAATATTAATTTAATATTTTACTTTGGAACTACTAAAATAATTTTCCAAAACTACTATACAAATAACTTATTTTTACAATATCAAGATATATATTTTATTTATAATTTAAAATCAAAATATTATCGATGATATAATAATATAATATCATTTATAAATATATTTATAATAATATTTATTCAAACATAAATATTATATTATTATTACTTTTAAATTTAATAGAAATATTATATTTATAAGTAAATGTTAAGTATTTAATTTAAAATTTTAATAGATAGTAAAATATATAATTAAAAATTTTATTTTTTAATAAAATAGATTGTATCATAAACTTTTCAGACCGGAACAATAAAAAAATATCACAAACTCTAACATATCTTATAGGCCAAGTTTCAGTTAAATTATAATTCATAAATGATAATTGAATTTGAGCGAAATTGAACACAAATGATAAGATAAAAAAACATGTTTTTTACAAAAATATATCAATAATTCTATATATAAATTATTTGACTTGTACCCGACTCAATCTAAATTGACTTGAAGATACAAAGTTGACCCAAACCGAAAACAATTGACTGGATATTAACCAGATTTGAAAATCAACTGATACGATTTGATCCGACCCAAAATCAATCGATCTGATATTGACCCGACTCGATACCCGAACTGACCCGACTTACTATAGACTCGAATAAAACCGAAACCCAAAATGACCCGACCCGACCCTACTTACTATAAACCTAAATAAAACTGAAATCCAAAATGACCCAACCTGAATTAAATCTAAATTAAAATGACCTGAACCGAATGACCCGTTTGCCACCATTTCCCAGCCTATAAATAATTCTCATTATCATTTTAAGAGACGTTAAAAAAATAGAACCTATCATTTCTCGTGTTATCTTCAGTGCTTTCGAATTTATTGAATATTTATATGGAGAATTATTATTGATTTTTTAAGCTTGTTTTATAACTAAAAACTTGTTGATCATAAGGATGCTTTATAAGAAAAATAATATTCTTAAAAACAGCGTTTTATACATGCATTCAAATAGATATTTATTTTCTTTTCCCCCAACACGTCCTTGCTTAACAATTTGATTACATAGTAGACCATCTTCCCCAACAGTCAGATCTGCATTATTATTAGTTGAAAAAGATCTCAATAAAAATGTCAGGTGGCTCATCTTTCTCAGGTTTTCCTGGAAAAAGCCAGTACTTAAGTAAGATCATAAGATGCTCTGCAACTTATAAAAGTGCAGCATTTCGCCTTTCAAAGAAAAGCCCACGTCTTTTAATTCATATATACACTCCCCGGCTAGCAATATATTCCCTCAATCCATGTGTAAATTGGCTGTTTCAGTTTGTTTGATATGACAAAAAAAAAGCACATAAAATTGATTAGAGTGTCAGATAGACGTAAAATTTTATATTACTAAATTTTTAAGAATAAACGAACCTATAAAAGTCTAAGGATAAAAATAAATTATTAATAGAGAATATAATAAAATTAAAGTTTATAATAATTAGTGATAGCTTTTATCGTAGAACATGATGTGGAATGCTAGATAAATGCCCTTCTTTTGATAACACAATCGTTTAAACACATGGACAGAATGGGCAAACAACTTTGTTGCAGAAAACAGACAAATCTTTGTATGATTATGCCTCTCAGATTTTTTTTTCTTTTTTCTCAAAGACAAAAAACCATAACTGTTGACATTGATTTTCGAGTCATTTTCCAAATCAAATTAGAGCAATCGCATCAACTATGTTTGACGGGTTCAACACCCTCTAATAGAATCCAAAATGACCAAGATTTCTTCTGCTTATTTTCTTTAATGTTTAATTGGCAAATATCATGTATAAAGGCCAAAAATTGCATCTAATCTCCACCAGACATCCCTATTGCTTCCAAAGAGGGTGTTTGAACGCTATTTTTATTAAGGATACGAATTTGGCAAAATGCCTCTTCCACAAAATACTTACATCTGACTCTCAAACCTTCAAGTTCCTGACAGACACAAAATTTTATGTTAGAGGGATAAACTTAAACTTAGGGGGCGAAATAAAATCTCAGGAGAATAAAAACAGATTTTTAATAGAAAATATATATAAAAAATCTAAAATATATGACAATTTTAAATTTTCAAGGGGACGACTGCTCCCATCCACCACCTCGGTCCATCCTTGGTTCCGACTGAATATTTATTGTATTCAAATTCTAGTATACAATAAGGATTCTTCGGATTGAAGAATCTGGATGGAGTGAAAACCATTACATTGATATTTGACCACATTAACAAAGTTACTGCAACAGCCAACCATAATTCATTCACAAGAAACTTCAAGGAAGAATACATTAACAAAGCTTTTTACCAGTTAACTTTCAAAAGCAAATCAATCTTCATCAAAGCAGTTTTCACCAAGAATTTCAACGAACAGCTAAAGGGTATTGTGGATTAATTACAGACTGCAAGTCAAAGGCCCCTTCCAAGCCTTTTGCCTCGAAACAAACTTCGGATTACAGGAAACTTGAAAGAACTAAACAAAAGGTACAATAGATCCGGAGGCATTTAGTTACATATCTGTTTATAGGTATTTCTCCTTCTAAATCAGCTAAAATTCTTCACCGAATGTCTAACGAAACAACCAAAAGATTAACATACAATACACCAAACCCGAAAAACATCAACACCCATATATAGATATTCGAAGTCACCTTAAATACATCACATTATACCTAATCAGTTAAACAAAGATAAAGGATTTTAATTATGATCAGTGTATGGAATCTATGTTCTTACTGAGCTCCTCGAGCTTCTTCATCCTCAACCTTCCACTTTCACTCACAAGCTGTTCAATCAATAAAAACAGATAACAACAAGGTGAGATTCGAATTTACGTTGCTTTGAATCTGGAATTTTGTTTTCTACAATGCAATTATAAAAACTAGCCTCCATCAACTTTGTGATTAGCTTTACTTTTTCCTTGTTCTTTTCGTTAAAGACCTCGAGAGCTTCCTTGTACTCCCTTTCCAATTACAGAATGCCAAAAAAACCCGAACTCAGTGGCGTAATGGGTACCATAATTAACAAGTGCCCCATAATTTACAATGAAATTTGATGGAAAAGTTCAATTATTAGCTTCAAAGTTGGGTAAAGTAGGAACATTTTTCTGGCACGTGTTCCCTAATGGCTTGAATTCTTTGTTAACTGCATCAATCTTCTTCCTAACCTGAGCAACTTCCTTCCTCATAGGATCTGCAAGTGCTTCAAGCTCCTGTAGATTCACACGGTTTTATTTAAAATGAGAGACAGTGACAATAAAATTATCATGTGGAACTTAAGAACATCTTCGTGTTTGAAACTATAAAACCAAAAAAAAAAGTCCTTTATGTGCTAAAATAGTAAACCATTTAAAGATAACCTTGATCTATTAACTTAAATGGTTGTTTTTGCAACAAGATGTAATGCCCAAAAATTAACTAACAATTTCTTAATTTATATTGAATCCTTGAACTACAAATCTGACAGATAAAATACTCTTAATCTCTAGCAGAAATTTATTATGAAGGTTAAACCGGAAAACCCTCTTCCAAAATTTTAAATCCATGCCCAGATCATGACTTTGTTGGATCATAAACTTGATCCATTATGGGAGCCTAAACCCAAACTCAAACTAAATTGATGTCATTGCTTACATAAATTAGATGAAGATATCATTGCTTACATCAATTTAGTTAGGTGAGAGTTAGGTATTTGTAGACTTTAAAGGTTTAAATTATTTTATTTGTGTGGTATAGGATTGTTCTTGAGTAGTATAAATACCCCTCCCCATTTTAGTTTAAGCATCAAGAAAAATTAAGAGCTTCTAAGTGAGTGAAGAAGCAAAGTCTTATAAGAGTGAGTTGTAGTTCTTGTTTTTTGAGTGAGAGTGCTCTTATAATATTTGTTTGAGTTTCAATAAAAGTTGTTTGTGTGAGTGTTTTATTTCCAACAAAGTGGCATCAGAGAGAGTTGGAAAGATCGAAGATCTCGACGAGAGGAATCCGCCGCCGCCAAAATCTTCCTAATCTGAGTTCTAACGCGCCGCCACGCGCCGCCGGAGGACTGCTGTCAGAAAATCAAGTCATTATATTGAGAGATATGGCAAATGGTATGACACCATTCCAAGTTCCAACACTCAACAAAAACAACTACGACAATTAGAGTATCAAAATGAAGGCACTTCTTGGATCACAAGATGTGTGGGATATCATAGAGAAAGGCTATAACGAGCCTACAGATGATGATGCTTTTGCTACTCTTACACTAGATCAAAAGACAACTTTGAAGGATTCAAGAAAGAAAGACAACAAGGCTCTCTACCTCATCTATCAAGCATTAGATGATGATGGTTTTGAAAAGATTTCGAGTGCAACCTCTAGCAAGGAAGCGTGGGAGAAGCTGCAAACCTCTTATAAAGGATTTGAGCAAGTGAAGAAGGTTCGTCTCCAAACATTAAGAGGTGAATTCGAATCCTTACACATGAAAGTATCCGAGTCTATTTTAGATTATTTCTCAAGAGTAGTAGCTATTTCTAATCAATTAAAAAGAAATGGTGAAAAGTTGGAAGATGTGAGGATAATAAAGAAGATACTCCGTTCGTTGGATCCCAAATTTGAGCACATAGTTGTGACGATTGAAGAAACTAAAGACTTGGAAGAAATGACGATCGAGCAACTCCAAGGATAATTGCAAGCATACGAAGAGAAGCATAAGAAGAAGCATGGGTTTACTGAGCAACTCCTCAAGCTACAACTCAAAGATATGCATGAAACTCAACACAATGATAGAAACCAACGTGGCCTAGGCAGAGGTAGAGGCCATGGACGAGGTGGAAGTCGCGGACGTGGACGAGGTTGGAATTACAACAACAACAACTAAGAGAAAGGAGAAAGCTCAACACGAGGCCGTGGAAGAATCAATCCGAACTCAAGATATGACAAATCTCAAGTTCGATGTTATAATTGTCAGAAGTTTAGGCATTATGCTTCAGAATGTAGAGCTCCCAACAACAAAATTGAGGAGAAGGCCAACTACGTGGAGGAAAAGACAGATGGAAAAGAAACTCTTCATCTAGCATAAAAAGAAGCTGATGGTAGCCAAGCAAATTCCTGGTATCTTGACAGTGGTGCAAGCAATCACATGTGTGGAAGGAAAGACATGTTCGTGGAGCTAGATGAGTCAGTAAGCAGAAATGTTTCGTTTGGAGATGATTCCACAATAGCAGTGAAAGGAAGAGGTAACATTCTTATCCGTTTGAAAGATGAGAGACATCAATTTATTTCAAATGTCTACTATGTGCCCAATATGAAATGTAACATCTTAGTTTTAGGGAAACTGGTAGAGAAAGGTTATGATATTCATATGAATAATTATAATCTTTCTATAAAAGATGATAAGAATAAATTCATTGCTAAAGTGCCGATGTCAAAGAATATAATGTTCTTGATCAAAAAACAAAATGATGTTGCAAAGTGCATGAAAGCTTGCTACAAAGATGCATCATGGCTTTGACATCTTCGATTTGGGCATCTCAATTTTGGAGGACTATAGCTGCTATTTAAAAAGGAGATGGTGAAGGGACTACCTTGCATCAACCATCCTGACCAGCTTTGTGAAGGGTGTCTAGTAGGGAAACAATTTAGGAAAAGCTTTCCAAAGGAGTCAGAGACAAGAGCCAAGAAGCCACTTGAGCTCATCCATACCGATGTGTGTGGATCGATCAAGCTAAGCTCTCTCGGTAACAGTAACTATTTTCTTCTCTTCACTGATGATTTTTCAAGAAAAACCTGGGTATATTTCTTGAAACAGAAGTCAAAAGTTTTCAAAGTCTTCAAGAAGTTCAAAGAAGCAGTGGAGAGAGAAAGTGGTAGAAATATCAAAGCTATAAGATCCGACCGAGGAGGAGAATTTACTTCCAGGGAGTTTCAAGAGTTTTGTGAAGTAAATGGAATTCGTCGACCAATGACAATTCCTAGATCCCCTCAGCAAAATGGTGTGACAGAAAGAAAGAACAGAACTATCCTCGACATGACACAAAGCATGCTCAAAAGCAAGAAACTACCCAAGGAATTTTGGGTGAAAGTAGTAGCGTACGCAATCTACTTGTCAAACCGATCTCCAACAAGAAGTGTATGGGGAAAGAAAGACACCACAAGAGGCATGGAGTGGAAGAAAGCCTGACATTTCCCACTTGAGAACCTTTGGAAGTATAGCCCATGTTCACATACCAGACGAGAGAAGAATGAAGCTTGATGATAAAAGCGAGAGTTTTATCTTCATCGATTATGATACTAATTCGAAAGGCTATAAGCTGTACAATCCAGACAATAAAAAGTTTATGATTAGTCGAGATGTGGACTTCAACGAAGAAGGAGAATGGGATTTTAACTCTCATGTAGAAGACTTCAATTTCTTTCCTCAGTTTGAAGAAGATGAGCAAACAATGAGGGAACAACTAGGTGAACCTCAACAAGAGCTTGAGACTCTACCCACTTCACCAACATCAACCACTTCACCAACATCAACCACTCAAGGAGACTCATCACCTTCGTCATCGTCAAGTGGGAGTCAAAGTGAAAGAGTTGTGCAACGTACAAGAAACCTTAGAGATCTCTATGAGGTAACTGAACGACAAGATAATCTTACATTATTTTGTCTGTTTGTTGATTGTGAACCAGTGAGCTTTCAAGAAGCGGTACAAGAAAAGAAATGGAGAGATGCGATGGGCGAAGAAATCAAGGCCATCGAGAAGAATGAAACATGAGAACTTACCTCACTTCCCAAGAGACATAAGGCGATAGATGTCAAATGGGTGTACAAAATAAAGCAAAACGCCAAAAGAGATATTGAAAGGCACAAGGTGAGGCTAGTTGCTAAAGGCTATAGTCAAAAGGTTAGAATTGACTATGATGAGGTATTCGCTCCTCTTGCTCAATTAGAGACTAACAGACTAATCATTTCTTTGGCAGCTCAAAACAAGTGGAAGATACAACAAATGGATGTAAAGTATGCCTTCCTAAACAAAGTTCTTGAAGAGGAAGTCTACATTCAGCAACCATCAGGCTACGAAGTCAAAGGGCACAAAGACAAGGTGTTAAAGTTGAATAAGGCTATTTACGGGCTAAAACAAGCACCAAGGGCATGGAATAGTCGAATCGACAAGTACTTTCAAGAGAATGAGTTCAACAAGTGTCCCTACGAGCACGCTCTATATATCAAGATCAAAGATGGAGATATTTTGATCGTGTGCCTCTACATGGACGATTTGATCTTCACCGGAAGTAACCCAAGCACGTTTAATGAATTCAAGGATGTAATGATGAAAGAATTCGAGATGACAGACATGGGGCTCATGGCATACTATCTTGGCATTGAAGTTAAGCAACAAAAGGATGGAATTTTCATTTCACAGGAAAGCTATGCAAAGGAGATCCTGAAGAAGTTCAAGATGGAGAACTGTATGCCAATAAGCACACCGACAGAATATGGGATCAAGATGTCCAAACATGAAGAAGGCGAAAGTATAGATCCAACATTCTTCAAAAGTTTGGTGGGAAGTCTACGCTATCTAACTTGCACGAGGCCTGATATTCTTCACGCAGTTGGATTGGTTAGTCGTTATATAGAATCTCCAATAACCACCCATTTTAAAGCCGCAAAGAGAATTCTTCGCTATCTGAAAGGTACAATTGACTTTGGCTTGTTCTATTCAGTTTCTAATTATTACAAGCTTTTTGGATATAGTGACAGTGATTGGGGTGGAGACATAGATAATCGAAGGAGCACTACTGGATTCGTATTTTTCATGGGAGATACTGCTTTCACATGGATGTCAAATAAACAACCGATTGTCACATTGTCCACTTGTGAAGCGGAATATGTTGCTGCTACCTCATGCATTTGTCATGTAATTTGGCTTAGAAATCTATTGAAGGAGATATGTTTGATACAAGAAGAGCCTACCAAGGTTTGTGTCGACAACAAGTCATCCATTGCTTTAGCAAAGAATCCCGTATTCCATGATCGAAGCAAGCACATCGATATTCGCTACCACTATATAAGGGAGTGTGTTGCAAGAAACGATGTGGAAGTTGAATACGTGAAGTCACAAGATCAAGTTGCCAATATTTTTACCAAGCCACTAATAAGCGAAGACTTCATAAGATTAAGGAACTTACTAGGAATCACAAGATCAAGTTTAAGGGGGGTGTTGGATCATAAACTTGATCCATTTTGGGAGCCTAAACCCAAACCCAAACTAAATTGATGTTATTGCTTACATCAATTAGATGAAGATGTCATTGCTTACATCAATTTAGTTAGGTGAGAGTTAGGTATTTGTGGACTTTAAAGGTTTAAATTATTTTATTTGTGTGGTGTAGGATTGTTTTTGAGTAGTATAAATACCCCTCCCCATTTTAGTTTAAGCATCAAGAAAAATTAAGAGCTTCTAAGTGAGTGAAGAAGTAAAGTCTTATAAGAGTGAGTCGTCTTTCTTGTTTTTGAGTGAGAATGCTTTTGTAATATTTGTTTGAGTTTCAATAAAAGTTGTTTGTGTGAGTGTTTTATTTCCAACAGACTTCTCATCGCCATGTTACCCTCTAAACTCTTTTTTTTTTGCAGAAATTGACCAAAAAAAGGTAAACTTGTTTGAAAACCAAAAGCTATAATATAAACATTAAAAATTGTATCTTTCCATGTCAAAATCAAGAAGAAAAAAAGGGAAATTTTCTTTGAAACATACCTCACGAATCACGGCCAAGCGTTTAGTTTCCTCTTCAACACGGCCTAACTGAAGCTGAACTTTTTCTCTAACTTCCATCTTCTTCCTCTCGATCTCTTCTTCTTTGGCTCTGAAAGTGGAAAGAGCATACTTAGAGATCTCTTCATCTTCCTTGGACAAGTGGCTGCTGAAGCTTAGACTCCCAGAGTTTTAAACAGTTAACTGGTTTAATAGATATCATAACAGACATAAAATCAGTAAAGTTGAATAGATATCATACCTTAATGACTCAATAATAATTTGGACATCAAAATGTAAGTCATAATCTCATTACACCTACAAATGTATTGTGTTACAGTTGGAATGGTAGGTAACCCTTAAATTTGTGATCGTACACTTAATAACATATCGACAATGTAGTATAATATTAAGGCGTCTATTATCATATCAGATATCAAGAGTATAATATTTTTTTAATAGTCTGATGTGATTATAAGATAATATTGTTTACAATCTTTTTTAGTCATTGATAACATACACACCTTGCAAATGCAACTGTTTGATTCCAATACCTCAAAGTAGAACATTTTTTCTTTAAACACTGAAGCTACACAATGAATTTCAAGAGTAGAATATTTAATAATGTGTTTTATGATATCCGATAAAATTTTAAGTAGTCAAATTTCAGTAGCCATAAAGACAACTCAAAAAGATTAACAAATTGGTATAGACATTTTAGAAATTAATATGAAAATTAGTGTTGAGAATGATATATAAAAACGAGTCTTGAAACTTTAGAAAAATGATTGAGTAATCATTTAATGAAAAATCGGAGGTGATTTTAAGTACTGAAAGACATTTTTTAACAAATGAACATTTTATGGATATCGTGGTGTATGCTTAAGGCGTTCCCTGTATAAAATATTTTTTTAGAGAAATAACTAGAAATTAGTGTTACTTAAGTAATATTTTTTTCACTATATTTAGCTAAAAAGGTCCCTTTCTTGGCGATTTGTTAATAAAGAGGAATTACGTAAAATTTGTCTGTCTTCTTTTTTACTTTTTAGTTTAAAAAAAACTGTGTAAAATTTGTCATTTTCATGTAGACGGACAACTTCAACAAATTATTGTACCTATTTCATTCATATATAATGTATTGGGTGACTGACACAAGTAATTAATAGTATTAAGTTTTATTTCTTGAGAACTAATTTAACTATAAATGTAAAATATATATTAATAATTTTATTTCTGCATGTTGCATGCATATTGATGCTTTTATTTCAATGGAAAAGTTTATCGAAATTGATTGACACTTAATCTTTCCGTTAGGAAATGTTTTTATTCCACTAATTGCTAGAATCACCTTGGATATATATATATATATGCATAATTTTAAAACATAAACGATTTCTTTATGTTGACCCTATATGTTTTTAAACAATAGCAAATAAAATTATTGACGAGACAAAAGAGTTTTGTTGGTTGTGAATAGTTCATCGCTTTTAATTTGGGTGGAGAGACGGTCGTTGATCGATATTTTTATATTACAGAGAGGAGTATGGAGAATGAAGAAGACAAGATGAAGTGTGTGTATGTATACCCCTTTTATTAATATTGGTTGGGAATATTTATAGTGATTCCTAGTGTGAATGTTAGTTGTGTGATTTTCATGATTATTAGGCTGACAGATACTAGACAGATTTAGTAATCAGACTTTGAATATGGTGGGTATGTAAGAGATATTGTATAGGTCTTGTTTGTGCACAATAGTTAACTAATGGGATAACGACTATTTTCATTGTATTCGTCTTGACAGCTTGGAGATTTCTAGCACTTGTCTCCAGAAGTAGAAATATTAACTGAGTTTGAGTTGAGTAGATGTCTCTATATGGGTGAGCCTGCGATTTTTTTTTTAATTTTAACTTTTCTCTTTCAAATTCGAATTTAGATTTATGTCGATGTGTTTCATTAATTAAAATAATATTAAAAATATGTTCATATTTATAAATAGATATATATATATCTTTTTAGTATACAGTTAATGATATATTTTTGTACATTAGATAAAATTACATTAACATTAAATTTATATAAAAATTTGGACATGACCATATGAATTCCATTTTGTAAAATCCAACCGGTACAAACCAAACTTGCAAAAGCAAACGAATGATATGATAATTGAACCGGTCTGGACTCAAGAATGCACTTGATATTCCAAAATAATATAATTCAATTAATCACTAGTTTTAATGAATTGATTCATTTTGTTTTCATTGGGGGGACCAATTTGAGATGAATGGAGAAGTTCAGAGTCCAAACAAAAATGAAATATCATTTTCTGCCCAAAAAAAAGAAAAAACTTCGTTATCAACTGATTTGAGGCCTAGGAATCTGCTGGTGGGGCCATCCAACGGTGCCCATTTGAAACCTCACCATCAAAGCCGTGCAACCCTGGACTACTGTTTTTATTCTCTATTATTTTTTACATCTACTAATTAAAAATTAGGTTGAAGTACACAATTGGTTCTCTGATTATCATCTGTTGCTATTTTATTCAGTCATCCGATAATAAGAAAGTTATAAATGATCATCCAACTATATGTATTATTTTATTGAGTCCTCATAATATTAAAAGTTATAAAATAGTCACACGATTATTCATATATTCCAAAGTTCATCCCTTTTTTTGTTAAACATTAATAATCTTTTGAGTTGGATGCTAACATGGTGACTGAGATATGATAAAATTATATTTTAATTATGTTTATTGGCATCGTCGTTGCTTTCAAGTATTGGTTCGACAACATAATGTTTCAAGCATTGACTCGATGACATAATGTAAACGGAGAGTTGAGCGAAAAAAATATAGGTCAAACAATTTTTGGATTAGATTTTATCATATCTCAATCAACAAGTTAACATCCAACTTAAAACATATGAATAGTCAGTGAACCGTTTTATAACTTTTAATAGTCAGGAGACTCAATAGTTTAACGAAAAATGACGAGTTTAGATCATATAAATACTCGATAAACCATTTTATAACTTTTAATATTCAAAAGATTTAATAAAATAACACCATATAATAAGAAGATGATAATTGTATTTTTTTTTGTTGGCATGGAATGAAACATTTTGGGTATGTTTCAAAGTTGATATTTTGCTACTAATAAGAATCTAGTCTAGTTGGGGGTTACGGTTATGGGCAGACATGTTCAACTGTGTGTTTTGGATTCTCAAATCTCAAACCACACACTGTTATGATTGGATTTTTATTGTTAGATTTTGTATTGGATCATATGCTTGACAAATTATATGTTTATATCGTTGATAAAGAAGATAATAGGATGAAGAAATATATAGCTTTGCAGTTCTTATTGATATGGGCAGTATATATACAGATTATGTGAGTACAAAAGAAGGAAAATAATTACTAATAAAAAGGAATCAAAATAAATTGAGTAACTGCCAGATACTACAGATAATTACAAAGAATATTCAAAAGTGAAAATCCCTTGATTTTCTCCTTTGACTTTCTCAACTTGATTGTGTATCCTTATCAAATCCCTTGATTTTCTCCTTTGACTTTCTCAATTTGATTGTATATCCTTATAATGCCCCCGCAAGATGAACGGTCATGAAGCAAGTCTAATCTTGACCTTAAGAGAGTCAAATTGAGGACGAGCAAGAGGTTTGGTAAGAGCATCGGCAAGTTGATCAGCTGCAAAGATGTGTGACACTCGAAGCAAACCATTTTGAACTTTTTCTCGGATGAAGTGATAGTCAAGAGCGACATGTTTCATGCACGAGTGGAAGACTGGATTGGAAGAGAGATTTGTGGATCCAACATTATCACAATAAATAACTGGTTGTTGGGGAAAAGTGACATCTAGTTCTATAAGGAGAGAGAAAATCCATTGAATTTCAGTAGCTGTGGAGGCAACCGATCGGTACTCCGCCTCAGTGGAAGAGCGAGCCACTATAAGATGTTTCTTGGAGCTCCAAGAAATAGGATTGTGACCGAGATAGACTATGTATGCACTAGTGGAGGTAAAATCATTTTTGGTACCTGCCCAATCAGCGTCTGAAAAGGCATGAAGTGCTAGTGGGGAGGTGTGACGTAATGTGATGCCATGCTCTAAAGTGCCACAGAGATACCGTAATAGACGTTTGACCACATTTCAGTGGTCACTAGTTGGTTGATACATAAACTGAGAGAGCTTGTTCACTGTATAGGCAACGTCAGCCCGAGTGAGTGAGAGATATTGAAGGCTACCAACAATTGTTCGATACTCGGTCGGATCAGATAGTGGAGTCCCAAATTGTAAAGTGAGAGTCAGGCTAGTTGCTAGTGGTGTAGGAGCAGGCTTGGCTTCAGTCATGTGAGTTCTATTAAGGAGATCAACAATGCATTTATGTTGACTGAGGAAAATACCATTGTTGTTGGAGGTGACTTCCACTCCAAGGAAGTATGTAAGGGGGCCAAGGTCCTTGAGAGAGAAGCGCTGAGAGAGTTGTTGATGAAGTCCTGTGTAGCGTCAGTATTGTGCCCAATGATAATGATATCATCGACATAGACTAGAAGATAAAGAGTGGTGCAACGATCGTTGAAGATGAAAAAGGAGGTGTCGGCAACTGAATTGGTGAAGCCTGATTGGAGAAGAAATTGGTACAACTCGTGATACCAAGCACAAGGAGCTTGCTTGAGGCCATAAATAGCCTTGCGTAGCTTGCAGACATAATAAGGATGATCACGATCAATGAAGCCCGGAGGTTGAGACATAAACATATCCTCAATGAGAGTTCCCTGAAGGAAGGCATTGTTGATATCAAGTTGTCTGAGTGACCAACCCTGACTAACCACAAGGCTGAGAACAAGACGAAGAGTGGTAGGTTTGATGACTGGACTAAAAGTTTTGGAGTAGTCAACTCCAGGGCGTTGGTGAAAGCCTTTAGCAACCAATCGAGCTTTGTACCTATCAACATAGCCATTAGGGAGATATTTAGTACGAAAGATCCACTTACAACCAACCAAATTTTGAGTGGGATGAAATGGAACTAGTTCCCATGTACCATTACGAATTAAAGCTTTTGAATTGGTTTATGGATGTTGTGTTTGGAGCGAGTGACTATAACACGAGGTGAGGCTAAGGGGTCGAGAGGTAGATTAGGGTCATTGTGAGGAGACGAGGGCGGTGGGTCACTACCA